CGAAGGCCGAAGGCCGAAGGCGGAAGAAGCCGAGAGGCGGACGCCGGAAGCAAGCCGGAAGCAAGCCGGAAGCAAGCCGGAAGCAAGCCGGAAGGAAGCCGGAAGGGGTTCGTCGCCGGCAAACCTGTTCTCCTAGGATAATCCGGCAACCTGGCGGACCAGGAGGAAGGCGGCTTGGCGGCGATGCAGGGCAAGGAGAGCCCCGTCGGGTCCAACACCCAGGAGACCCATCAGTATGTCGGCCCTTATCGACTGGAGAAAACCTTGGGCAAAGGGCAGACCGGTGCGTCCTCGCCAGATTTACTTTTCGTTAGGAACAACGCCGATTCCGCCAACTCGCGCACTCCCGACGTGTTTCCGTTCCGCCGCCTCGGCGTGGGCTCGCCGACGCGGGGCCGGCCGGAACCGGACACCTTGAACTACTTAGAACGCGTGACGAAACGTTCGAATCGACCCGAATCTATTGCCTCGAGTCACGAGCTATTGTCGTCCCCGTTATTTATTAATACCGTACACACGAGAACCCCTTTGTCACGCCGCAGGCATCTACGAAAAAATAGGTTGACCGAATGCGCTCAAAGACTATCGGCCGAAGCAAATGGGAAACTAGCCGGCCGCTTTCGAACAAGCGAATCACCGATACCCGCTTACGTCGCGCTGTTTCTCGCATTTTTAACGCGGCCTTCGCGAATCGCTGCTGCACGCTCGCGCTTAAATCTTTGAATACGTATTCGAAACGCGGAATCTCGCTGTAAACGGTTCACGCGTTGTATCAAAGTTTAGGGTTGAAAGGAATGGGTACTCGTTAGTTAACTCCATTAGGAAATACCGAGCGTTTCCAGTGAAAGATTTACGGAATGCAAAGGGTTCAAGGAATTATATTACAATAGCTGCGTTGCCATCGCGATTTTACCTCGGATAAGAATCCCCGAGAAAGCCATTTCACCTTTCAACTCCGACTTATGTATTCGGAAGCTGTTTCGAGAGGGTTAAATGGTCTGCAGCCTGAAATCTTGGAAGCGGAAGAATTGAAGATCGTCGCTAATCGTCGTAGAAAGAATGGAAGGAGAGCCAATTCCCTCGCGCAATTTCATGCAATTCCAGCGATTAGTCGGCTAGGGTAAAATCCGCTGGAATATTATCCGAGCTTGTATATACTTCAAGATAGTAAAAGTCTTGTGAAACTTGACGTTGCCGATAACTCCACTAGAAGAAGAACTTGTCAAATTTTAGAATAATTGAAACGATGAACTCCGACAGCTCCGAACGATATTAACGCGTAATTGAACATTTCTATCGCGTTAATGGGGCCGCGCCGCTCAAATGCAATTACTATTTGCAATTCGCAACGCGAACGAATCTCTGACGAGACGATTGAATCGTCACGCGTCGCGATAATCGTTCGTTCGCGTTGAAAAGGATCCGTCGAGTTCCCAAGACGAAACGTTCCTCGCCGCTAATGCTCCGTAAATACGCGGGTAATCGAGTTTTCCCGAATACCATCGATCGCTCGCGGCGCAGCAAGATTTCGACACACGCTGCGTCTTTTCGTCACGTCTCGTCAACGTTGTCCGTTAGAGACGTTTCGTTCCATTCGAATTTCGAGAAACCTTCACCGATTTCATACTAAATTCCACAGCATTATTTTTTTCTAGTTTCTTGAACTCTTCTTTCGTCCTTACTATTACTTAATATTATTCAAAGCCCATGAACCCTGAGAACCAACACTAGAACTACCTAGCATTAATCTAATTCAGCTTTCGTATTGATAAATGAATGTCTTCATTTCCCAGAGAAACATCCGTTACTTTTTCAATAACTGTGAAAAAAGAATTTCAGGAACAGTTCTAATCCATTCGGTGGTTCCAGTGCTAATATCGAAGCACGTGGTCGAAGCGTTCTCAGGCCAAATGTTATTTGCCAGCGAGACTTGAAGGCTTAAACGCGCAGAGCCGCGGTGCAAGATGACTCTTACCGGTAATTAAAAGCCGCGAATATGAAAATCGATTCCCGTGCTGGGAGGTTCCGGGGGAACGAAGTAAATCCGTTGGTTCCAGTGGAGTCTCTTTCCGCAGACCCGAATTAGCTAGGATCCCGAAGCCCAGAGTCGTTCTCGCCGTCTTAAAAGTATCCCGGACTCCTCTGAAAAGAAGAAAATAACCGAGAAAGGGGCCACCTGAAAAACGGGGTCGTTGAGGAAACTAAAAGCGTCGAATCACCGTTCGAAACCACTCAATCCTTGTGTAGTGAAATTTCATCGTTCCAGTTTCTATCGTCTCGATGCCACAGCTTCCCTCGCAGCCCCGCTGAACACCCTATTACAGGGTAATTCAGTGTGCGTCTCGATCTCGTTTAAACTGTCAATTCTCTACACGCTCAATTGATTCCAGTGATACACAAACCTCGCGCAGAAGTCGAACAGGTCAAACTGACTGACGAACGACGTAAACGGTTCTTTTAAAAAAAAGCTTGCCATCTCACCTCGATCTAGCTCGAAGATAGAAACCACCCTGATACGTTTCTGTTGGTAAATCCATCGAAATTTCCGTCCCTCCAACTGAAACACACCAATTATACAAGTAAATCATTTATTAACATTGACTCATAATTAGTAATTCTCCAACATCTTTTTATGAACCTTGTCAGCATTAACCTTTTGAACTCTGTAGGCTCCAATATCGCACCAGTTATAATACTAAATATTTTAATGAATCTCGTACTAAGAAGGAAAATAAATGATCGAAGAAATGTTATAACATTTCTATAAAAATTAGTTACAGTTGCTGATAGATTACAAAACCATCTGGAGTGCTAAGGGTTAAGATCTACGATCAAACGCATCGACTGAACCCTGGAACTACCCAGCAATAAGGGTGACTTACTTCCAACCTTTATCAAAACCAGAATACATCTATTGAGTCTCGAAGGGTGTCCCAATTCTGAGTCTGTGCGAATACACGGATCTAACTGAAAATCTTCCGCGAAAACGCGTTCGTAATTGAAACACTCGCAAAGTAAAAACACCGAACTGGGTCAATTCGACTCGTCCGGCAGTTTCAGTGTTAATCGTTGCAGAGAAACGGGTGTCCTGGTGCCCGCCGCGGAGAGACACGAGATTTTCGTGCGTGTTTCCGCGGCGGTTCCGAGAGAACAACGCTCGCGGAGCCGCGTTACGCGTCGTTTGATCTTGAACAGTCCCCGGAAAGTGGTCGGCTGGGGAGCCCTCGAGTACAGCGATTCGATTGCATTCGAGGGAAAGTGCAACGCGGCCGTGCACGCTATACAATTTTCTTAGGCGGGTCGAAAGGGCGGCGGGGACGGCTCGGGGTTTTCACGCGCCGTCGCGCCGCCCGCTCCGACGCGTTTCCCCGCTGCCCCGAAAGCGGACAGACCCACCGAGGAAAGAATACGCCTTTCATTCGGCCCGCATACACCGTTTTCCGCGTTTTTAAAGCAACCACCGCGACCCTCCACGGAAACCGACTGCGACGCGAGCGAACCAGCGAGCCCCAAGATGCGAAAGTCGGCTAGCAGGGTGTGACGCGCGCGACGAATCGATACGATCGAACGGCCCGCGATTATATTAGCTTCGCGAGACGCCTCTTTCGATCGGACCTTCCACTATAACGCTGGACACTTTGTTCATCGATGAGTTTCGATCGCTTCTGCATCTTGAAACTTTTCAGTGCGCCTCCTCGGCAACTTCCTTCGAAACGCTTGAAGATAGTCCTCTTATTGAGATCTCAGAACAGTTGTGCAAACTTTTTCTAATATGAACGTTTGTTCAACGATTAGGAAGCACTACTAGCGAGACGTTTTGCTAGGAATGTTACCGAAAATGTACACTGAGGCAAAATGAGTTAACTCTGCACTCGAGAGGTGACTCTCGCTCACCACGTGATTCATACAGTAAACTATAAAATTTGATATTTAATATTATACTCCGTATAATGCATCAATTTGAGAAATATTGAAATAAAATAGCTTTGTTCTCGTCAGAAAATGTTAAAATATTTCTAGAGTGCAAAGGATTAATACCAGAAACATCGGGAGAAAATAGCGACAGTCTCAATAAGTTCAATCGGCTAATTTCGAGGATATTCGTATAAAAACGAGATTAACCTGTCAACCGAGTGTCCGACCATAACTCGCGTTTATAGCGAGTTGGAACAGTATTGGCTCGGACTGTTCGCGATTGCTTTACGATATAACGACGCATCGATACGCGATCTAGATCCGCCGGTGATTCGTTATACATGGAAATAACATGCTCGTTTAGAAAACGCGTGTAATTCAGCGTTCAGGAATAACGCGAGGAAATAAAGATCTCGTGATCGGGGTACGTTAACGTTGTTACGATCGGCTGCACGTGAACGCTAGATAACTTTTTGAGGCTCGTTCGCTCCGGGCCGATGGAACGAAAAGAGCGACGAGTAAATTCGTTTTCCCCGGTTAACAGGTGAAACGACCGGCAGGCCTCGTTCGAGCAAACATTCCAAGTTTCCTTCTTCCTCGCGTCACGGCCATTGTTGTTCGACTCGGAGCGAAAACAAACACTTATCTTTTTCAATGTAGCGAATAACAATGGATGAACGAGTGCTGTTCCGTTTACGTTGCCTCGCGACTATATCTGAAACGCGGAAAAACACGGGTCGTCGCGACTGTTGCCGTCCACCGATACGAGTGCACTCGATGTCGCGTTTTTTTAAACGGCGACGGGAGGAGCTTCGTGCAAGGAATTCACGACGGCGAATCGTTGATTTGAGATTTGAAATTTGTAATTCCATTCGTGGGAACGCTCACGAGCGATGGGTGCGTTGGCAAACTGCCTTGAACACAGGAATCACCGAATAAGTCGAAATTAGCCATTTCTAAATTCTTTTAAAATAATTGAAGAGGTAGCGAAAGCTTCTTAAGAAGCGAATAATGAAGTTAATTTTCTAATAGCCAAATTCGATTATAAATCGATTGAGACGTCGGTAGACGGTTGGCTATTTTCGGAGTTTCCATAGTAAAATTAGAAAGTCCAATTTGGCAGCGCCGCAGTTCTAGCGTCGAGGTTTAATCTCGCTGAGACGAATCCTCGCGAACGGCTCCAGCTGTGATAATCGGAATTCCCGGTTTAAATCTATCGCGGGATAAGAACGGATTCGCCGAAAATAAAATCGGACGACCCCTGTGAAATTCACGAGGTTCGTCGTTCTTTTCTGGGAGCCCCTGCGAACGAAGATCTTATATTCGAGAATAAACTTTCCGGGGAAGGTGAATCGAAGCGAAAGTTCCTTCACGGTTCGTTCCACCTCCGCGTTATGCTTTTAACGGGACGTCATTCGCGTGCGTTTACAAAAAGCTTCGACTTCGAAGATGGTATCTCTTGCTCGAAGCAAGTTCAAAAGGAAATTTCCATCCGATGAATGAACGGAAGCCAACGGAGCGAGGACTTTGCAGGGAAATTTCGATCGATCGAATTAACTGAAATCAATGGAGCAAAGACTCCTTTCAATTGTACAAACAACTGAACTCCGTTGCGCAACAATATTCGGGTCAACGACCAATCGCGTTTATATCGTCGTATCTTTTCCGAACGCCTCGTTCTCGTTACCGTTCGCGATTTCTGTTGCGCGTTCGCCCGAATCAAGAAAATTCGCGAAGCGAACGTTGCCTGGCGGCGGCTCCGAGCGCTAACAAGCTTGTCCGCCGGGATGCATACGGATGCAGACGCGGATGCAAATGCGCATGCAAATCCAGCCGCGCGGACGCGTTTTCCTAAAGGCTCCGAATCCTCGTGAACGGGGAGTCCCCGGTTGTTCCGCGGAATTTCGAGTGAAACGCGAACCGACCGAAAAATCTGCGCGATTTGCCATGGGGTGGGTCTCTTTGGAATTTTGCCAGCCACCCTCCTCGCCCACGCAGACGGCTCAACCTACTTCGTCTGCCAAAGATCCTTGGAAGATCGCGCGCCCCTATTTTCCAGTCCACGTCGAAACAACGCGGCGAAAAATTGGACTCGACCAGTCTCTCGGTTGGCTACCGTTTCCCACGGATCTCTTGGGCAACGGACGTCCCGACAGTCGCCACAAGAGAAATAACAACCACATCTATGCAAACCGAAATACCAAAGGGTCTTGTTTGGACTTTCGTTTCGTCATCTCGGTCATCCGGATCGAACAGGCGATTCGGAAAGTTCGCAGGAGATTTCATAGTCGTCTTTTCTAACGATTATCTCGATGATCGCGTCGCGCGATCTTCGTTCTGCTGATCTCTCGGAACAGAATTGCGCTTCCGTTGCTGCGAACTGTAGAATTTTCCTGTGTCGAATCAAGCGGTGACCGATCGTCGGCTCTCGAGTGCGAATGGATAATAAAACTAGAGTGGATTCTCGTTGACGATAATTTAACGACGAGGACCGGACAGCCGGGATGTCCCGTGGACCGCGGAATTCGAGGGGATTCGATGAAGCGCGCAATCCGCAAAATATCGCGGTATAATTCGATTCCGGTGACGAACACGGCCGCAGCCGTGTCGGACGCTGCCATGTCGCATACGAAAAAGGGATTTTCGTAAATGCATTTGCATACTGACGCGGGTCGTCGACCGAACGAAACGCCGACTCGCGAAGGCCAGTTGTTTCCACGGTGCCGCGCGGAAATCGCGAACATGTTCGTTAATAATAGCAATCGGTCTTCGTCCTCTGGGAATCAATTACTGTACAGGAGGCAACGACCGATGAGACATTCCTGACCAACATTTTCTATCTTGCATAAGCAGAGTGACATTACCTTCACTTGTGTTCGTACCTGAAATTCTACGACGGTGTAACGTGTAGGAAACCGAGGAAATTTTGGTTCGAAGTTGATTCGATTTCCATAATAACTATGAAGACTGCTGAAGATTTAACGCTAGAACTACGTAACAGTCAAAACTGGTTTCGATTTGTTTCGCAGTTATTAATACCTTAAAAGGCATTGAATATTTGAAATGCTTTTGGAAATAAATAGTTTCACTCGAGTGCTATGATGAATATCCAAAGAAACTGAAAATAATCTATTACAATTTTTATAGAGATTACAACGCGTAACGGGAATATTAAATAAACAAGCCGAGATTAGATTAACCTCGTTCTCTGTATCGAATCGAGTGGGTCCGCCTTCGAAAAGGGAGCGCGCAAAGGAATCGCGCGATCTTCGATCTCCTTTTTCCCCTCGAATTTCGTCTGGTCGTGATTCGACGCGATTGCGAGTCCGCGTTAATTAAGTTGATTGAAAGGCCGTTCCCGATCCCAACGAAACGCAGTCGATAATCGTCACGCGACGCACGCACGGCGCCCCGCGTTGGATTGCCAGCCCGGTCCCTTGAAAAATCCAACGGCGCGATAACGAGCGGGAACGAATGATCGATGGTCTGACACAGATTCGTCGAGTCAATTCTGAATTGCCCTGAACGTTCGCGTATATCAGTCTTCATTGCATGTTATACAAATTATGTTTCGCTAGATCCTATGTGAGGAAAGCTGAGGTTCAAAGGTCTCAAAGCTTTAAGCCTTCTACACACGTTGTA